TTGATCCATTATAAACAAGTGGACAACCATTATTACAATACCGGATCGAACTTGAATTTTGAGTACGCTGTATGGTCGCGTGGTTTCACTATGAATTTTTATTACACGAGGTAACTTAACAAGTGATAGAAATATTTCTCCTCACAATATGAAAAATCCAATTGTTCATCTCTCCAAAACAATTTTATTTATAAATAAAATTTTACACATTTTTCGAAATCGTATAGTACGTATTTTTATATTAATAATTCACCTAATGTTTTCAAGTTTCACGATCGCGTTTCACGACGGTAAAAAAAAAAATGATATCGTTTTAAAACCACCATGTGTACTTTTTTTTTTCACTTAGTCTCCATTAACTAATTCGTTAAATGATCAATCGATTATCCTCTTCATCAAACGTAAATTCACATCAGTTTCTTGGAACCATCCTACACGATTCGTAATTTCATTTTTCCTTCACTGTCATTTTCCTTCACTACCAAATTGTTATGCCTGCACTACTAAGTTTGTCACTTGCAGATTCGATATTACATAAAACGTATTCGTCAACTCAATGCGACAAAAATAGATTGAAATAAGAAGGAACGAAATACGTCTTTCGTAACATATTTTAACAATCACTACATATGTACATAAATTTTCTTGTTTAAATTGTATAGAAAAAATAAATATCAACTTATAAGAAAGGGAAAAAGCATCGAATTCGGCTCGTCATTCATATACGAAAATATAGGTTTTGGTCGTGAACCTTATGGCTCTTTGTTCTTCTACGTAACGATGATTGGGATAGGTTAAGGCGGTGTTTAAAGATAATTAATAGTTGCACGGCTCGTAAATATCGGTATCAATGAAGCGTGGCCAGAACGTGGCATAGGATCAGTGAATGGTTTCCGGCCGCATAAAAATTAGATTAGATCTGGAATTTTGTCCTTCTTTGGAATCGTTCTATCTTGATTATTAATTGTTCTTGGAGGAAAAAAAAAAAATAACGTTTTTTTAGAGAACAAGGTTGCAATCGTCGATCGAAATGTTTAAATTATCGGGTTCAAGCGAATCGTATATAGGGTATCGGGTTTTTTGAACGATTACGTGAACGGGATGATAAACGAATGTCCAAACATAATTACTTGGCCCCTGTTATCAACGTAATTTCGAATGGCAATGTCATCCACGTGATTCCATAAAATCGTGGAGTGGGTAGTTTAATAACTGGGACGGCCGTGGAAACGAGCGATCCGAGACGAAGGGAACGAACGAGAGCGGCTTTTACCCCTCCAGGGTGGATCACCCGATGGAAGGAAGGCAAGGAGGAGCGACGTAATTCGGGCCAGGAGGAAAGGGTCCTCCAAGGGGAGTATAGAAGACGACGGGTGTACAAGGGGGGAAGGGAGAGTTTAGGTGGGGACAGAGAGGGTAAAGGGGAAAAGAGAGAGGGAAAGAGAAATGCGAGGGTGCGTAAGGGTGGCGGATCCCTGGAATCAATAGTGGCCACGCACCCTTGAAGAATTTTCGCACCAGGAGCCCGGATGTCTCAGGACAAGCTGGGAAAGCTTTCAAAGCTGCTGCTATCAAATACTGTTTTACGGTAAAGAAAATCCAATGGAAAGAGAATATTATTTAGTGATAAAAAGTTGGTAGAGCGATTTGTTTAAATATCGAGCAATCGAGGATAAATTAAATTTTCTAACTACTGTTCAACGTATAATAATAAAATATTACGATGAAATATTAATTATTTAATTATTCGATTAGCCTTACGAGAATTTATAACAGTGAAAATTTAATTAACTTACGATTATAAATTTCGTTGTTAACAAATGAACGTGTAATCCGATAATTTCATTATTATTGATCTTATTCAAGAGACTCGTGATCGTTGGACTCGCGAGTTTTTGTTTGGTGTAGAGGAAAAGAACCGAAATCAATAACCTTACGACATACGATTAAATTTAACGCGCTTAACATAAATCCATAGAAACGAATTGTATGCTGTTACTTTAACATATAACGATAATT